CTCCTCCTCTCTCATCCACCTCCTCCACCCTGCCCCCCCCCTCGTTTTCATCTTCGTCGCTCTCAGGGTCGGCGGCAACGGCCGTAAGGCCTTCGCGAGAAATAGACACAAATCACCGGATTCCCCATATGTTCCCATCTCTTCTGGATGTCTGTCTTCCCCCCCACTTCCCATAGTTTCCTATATTTTCTGGGGAATCGACGGTTCATTGTGTCTGTGTGTTTTTGCTCCTGGACCTGGTTCCTGGCAGCTGCAGCCCGCACCCCCTCCGCCCCGGTGTTCTGAGGTGCCGCCCAGGCCTCTGCTTGCCGGCGCGTTAGGCAATCAGACTCGCGCGCGGCCCGTCCGTTCCGTTACTCGCATCCTGCGCTCTCGCTTGCGGTTGCGACAAAAAAAATGTTTGTTCCGTCCCGAGTGGGTGCCCCACGTGCCAGATTAGGGGGCAAACAAACCTACCTCGCTTTTGACCACCCTCGCTTCCAAGAGATACCAAGCGATGCCAAACTACGGCCTGGACTGGTCAGGCCGCTTGACGAGGAGGCGCGTGGTACGACTTGGTTTTGCCTGGAAGCGAAAGCGGGGTAGGTAATTCACGCTCTGATGTTTGTTCCGTCCCGAGTGGGTGCCCCACGTGCCAGACGGCTGCGCCGAGGTCTCGCCACGCCGCCCGCGGTGGCCGCCCGTAGCCGCGTCGTGGGCGTGCCGAGGTTTCGCCGCGCTGCCGGCCGCCCGTGAGCCCCGAACAGCTTGCGCCGCATAGCTCACCCAACATAGAGGAAGGGGCCCTGGGACACACAAATACACACAGATAACATGGTTCCCCATATTTACCCATATTTTCTTGGCTTGTGTCTTCCCCACACTTCCCATATGTTCCCACATTTTCCTGGGAGTCGTCGATTAACTGTGTCTGTGTGATTCTTCCCCTCCTGAATAGAGTGCACCGCACAGCCTACTTCACGTACACCGCATAGCTTGACACAAAGTAGCTTGACACCAAGTAGCTTGACACCACATGGCTTGCACCGCACGGCTTTTACCGCGTAGCTTGCACAAACATGCGTACACTGCACCACCTGCCTTGCAGTACATAATCACACCACAATGCTTACACCGCATAGCTTGCAACACATAGTTTACACATCCGTAATGCAAGAACTTATTGCTTGGGGTCCATTTACTCGTCATTTCTCCCCCCTCTTCGTCCTCCGTCCCCTCCTCCTCCCTCCTCCCTCCCCCTCCTTCCCTCATTCCTCCTGGATCCCTCCACCCCGTCCAGCTCCCTCCTCCTCCTCCTCCTCCTCCTCCTCCTCCTGCTCCTCCGCATCATCATGCCCAATACCACCATCACCATCACCATCACCATCACCACCGCCACCATCACTATCACCACCACCGCCACCACCACCACAATCATCATCATCATCATCATCATCATCATCATCATCATCATCATCAGCATCATCATCATCAGCAGCATCATCAGCAGCATCATCATCATCGTCATCATCATCAGCATCATCATCAGCATCAGCATCAGCATCAGCATCAGCATCATCATCATCATCATCATCATCATCATCATCATCATCATCATCATCATCATCATCATCATCATCATCATCATCATCGTCGTCGTCGTCGTCGTCGTCGTCGTCGTCGTCGTCGTCGTCGCCCAACATCCCTCACCTCTGCCTCGACGACCTCCTCTCCTTTCGTCCTCTCAAGTCCGCCTCGTCCTTTCCTTTTCCCTCTTTCCCAGTGATCCCCCGTCCGCCCCGCCCTGCTCCCGCGGCGCCTCCTGCACCCCCTCCGCCTTCTCCCCTATCCTCCGCCCTGTTGTAATTGATGGCGACGGGCTGCCGCGGGCCCGAACACCCTCGGCCGAAAACCGAGAAAAGTAGTAGAGGGTGGGGAAGAAACCGGCCAAGAATCGCCTAAGGTTATATTGAAATTCGAAGACCAAGAGAAGTATCCAAAGAGTATCTGCACGACAAGCTGCCCGAGTGCCGAACGAGCATCGCCTCCCAGGGCTCGACACCTGAAAGCAATCCAAATTCGGCACTCTCCGGGTGCACGAAATATTCCTGATTGCTGAGGCTAAAATAGGTTGGAACATCCTAAGCCTAAGGCCACTCCCAGCCAGAGTCAGAACAACGGGACGACCCCCAAATCGGCGGTGGACAAAACTCCCTTCAGTAAACCACCCTTTAGTGAAAACGGCCAAGGACCGAAACCGACGGACCCGGCAAGAACGACGGCCGCGACGCCCTCTCGCGAACCGAAAACGGCCCATTCGCTAATCGACGTGTCGGGGTAGGAGGTCTATCAACCTCTGACAGAAGCTAATCGAAACACCAACTCGACTCTACACAACCTACCCCAAAAGAGGAGGAGGAGGAGGAGGAGGAGGAGGAGGAGGAGGAGGAGGAGGAGAGGGAGGTGGAGACCGCAGTGCTCTATTCACAACGAGCACCCCACACAGGAGGGCTGGGAAACAACTACTCCACGCCCCCCTCGCCAGGCCCCGTGCCTCGCTGCCACCCCGCCCCGCCCTTCCACGCGCGCGGGCGCCTCTGCCCTTGTCCTCGCTTTGGTTCATGGGCACGCCCAGCCAGCTCCAGGAGGCCTGCCGGGGAGAGTACTCAGGAGGTCTCGTGCGCTTCCCCTCTCCCCCACCCTCCCCCCCTCTCTTCCCCCCTTCCCACCACCCACTCCCTCTCCCCCCTCCGCCCTCTTCCCATCCCCCCCCCGCTTCCCCCGTCGCCCCTCTCCCTCTCCCCCTCCTCTCTTCCCTCCTTCCCCTCCCCCCGCTCCCTCTTCCCCCTCTCCTCCCTCTTCCCCCTTCTCCCTGTTCCCCATTCCCCCCTCCCCCTCGCCGCGTGCTGCTCGCCTCCCCCCATCTCCCTCTCTTCTCCTTCCCCTGCCCCTCCCTCCGCCTCCCTCTCCACTCTCGCCCCGCCCCCCTCCCGCTCTGGCACCGTGCAAAGCGGTACCAAGCAACACGTGCCAAGCAATACCTAGCGACGCCAGGCAACGCCAAGCAATGCAAAGCCATCGCCGAGCAACGCCGAGCAACGCAAAGCGACGCCAAGCAATGCCAGGCAATGCCATGCGATGGCTTGCAGTGCCAATCAATGCTTTGCATGACACTGCCTTGCATTGCTCAGAATTGCGTTGACTTGCTTTGTTTGGAAGACAGCGACCCCTAAATAAAGTCTAGTCAGGTTCAGTTCTGACCAGAGCTCTGAAACTTCTCGACACTGACACGGGTGGAGGGCGGACCCTCTTCAAAACGACGCTATCGATGCACACCTTCTTGTACATGACCATGATACCTCTTTCCATTTCTCGGCGGCGAGCGAGGGGCGGAAATGAGAAGGAGAAGGCCTTCTCAGAAGTCGGCGGTATTTCTCAGAAACCCTCGCGCCTTCTGAGAAGTTGTTCTTTGCCTTCGAGAAAGGCTTCGAAAACTTCTCAGAATGCCGGGGGGCTTCCGAGCCTTCTGAAAAGGCTTTCTCCATTTCACTTCCCCCCCTCGCTCGCCGCCGATCCTCTCCTTCCATCCCTCCTTCCCATCCTCCTCCTCCTCCTCCTCCTCCTCCTCCTCCCGCGTCCTCCTCCTCCTCCCCGGTCCTCCTCCTCCTCCTCGTCCTCCTCGTCCTGATCTCCCCTCCTCTCCTCCCCTCCTCCTCCTCCTCTCCTCCTCCTCCTCTCCTCCCTCCTCCTCTCATCTATGATCCATCATCTCTGATCTCCCCCATCTCTCCTGCCTCCTCCTCCTCCTCCTCCTCCTCCTCCTCCTCCTCCTCCTCCTCCGCCTCCGCCTCCGCCTCCGTCTCCCCCTCCTTCCCCATTCCTTTTCCTTCTAAATAGCTCCTCCCTGTCACACCCCGAAGCCAAGAGGAAGGGCCGCCACGGCGTTTCGCCTGAGACGCATTCACCGCTTATGACCCTGAAGGCAGTAAGTTGTCAACAGCTTCGCATATATGGAGGGCGGGTGACTTTCAAGATATGGCTCTCGCCTGAGCGTCGAGCGAACTCGTCTTCAAAGATGTACAAGTTTCACGGGCTGATGGCGGGTCGTTTTCAAAATGTGGTTCTCGCCGTAGCGCCGCGCACACTCCAAAAATTTCGTGAGGCTCACGAAGTGAGGACGGGACGTCTTCAAATGTGGCTCTCGCCTGAATGGCGCGCGGTCGCCTCAACAAAAAATTGCAGCTGTCTTACAGATTGAAGGCGGCTCCTTTCCGAAATGTGGCTCTCGCAGTAGTGCCGCGCGCAGTCGTATTCAAAAAACCAGAGTTTCACGGATTATCATGGATAACGTGCCAGAAATGATTCCGGAGCGATTCGCGATTGTCAGGGAGCAGCAAGATTGATTCGCGGTGTTGAAGTCCCGGGAATGGTGTTCTTGCACGATGCAGGATCCTCAAGAAGCACCAGTCACGTTGATTAGTGGTGTTGAAGTTCCGACAATTGTGTTTCGGCACGCTTCAGGATCTTCAAACGGTTGCCGTCGAACGGGGCATTTACCTTAATGGAAATGAATCCTTGTAGGGGCATATGGAGCGGGAGCTTGGGGGAAGGGCGTATTCCAACATCTTTGATGAGTCTTGGCTTTACACTGGTCATCCTCCTCCTCCTCCTCCCCCTCCTCCTCCTCCTCGTCCTCCTCCTCGTCCTCCTGCTCCTCCTATTCCTCCTCATCATTTTCTCCTCCTCTTTCTCCTCTTCTTCCTCCTCCTGTCAGAGAAGGGGGGGACCCGTGTCGAGCAAAATTCGCGGCGAGTCCAACGCTCCTTCCCCAAGCGAATCGCAGAGGCCTCTGACCACGCCCCCAGGCCACTCCAAAAATCCGAGACTCCAAGTGGGGCCCAGCTGCGGTGGCGATTCAGTCTTTGCCATGGTCAGTCTTTACCATGGTATCCCTTCAGTTATCCTCCTCCTCCTCCTCCTCCTCCTCCTCCTTCTCCTCCTCCTTCTCCTCCTCCACCCCCTCCCTCCTCCTCCTCCTCCTCCTCCTCCTCTCCCTCCTCTCCTCCTTATTTCTCCTCCTCTCTCCTCCTCCTCCTCCTCCACCCCTCCTCCTCCTCGTCCTCCTCCTCCTCTTTGGAAAGTGTTTTCCCTGGCCGCACTGCCCCACTCGAGACGGGGTATGGTGCTCGGGCAAAACCAGTGGTGTGGCATCCTGGAGGCCACCTCCGAAATCCTCGTCGACCGTGGTTGATTATCTAGGAATGAAAACATAGGTTCATTATCTTCAAATGTTACCCTATATTGTCCTGTGAATGAATCGGGCTCAGCCCCCGACCCGACCGAATCATTATCTTTCCGGAATGATCAACCTAAGTTCAATATTCTAACATTATGGACCAGGGTTCATTTCAGTCCGGAACGTACTCTCAAACGGCGCCCCCCAGGCTCAACCATTACCATTCCAGAATAATTAACCCAGGGTCAATATTCTGGGAACATTAAGAATTCGGTCTGATTATCTCCTGGAAATAATGCACCGGGGTGAACATGAAAAATCTGGTGGGGAACCCGGGGGTTGGGGGGAAAATTATGATTATTATGATTCCGGAATTACGGAAACCGGGTTCATTACTCCCGGGACATTATAAACCCCAGTCAGTATTCCTGGAGCATTATGAATCCAGGTTAATCTGTTTTTGGGGTCGATATCCCCAGAACATTATAAATCAGAATTGATAATGTTCCAGGGGGAACATTATGAACCCTAGTCAATATTCCCAGAACATTGAAACCCAGGTTCATAATGTTCCAGAGGAGACATTATGAACCCGGGTCAAAAATCCTGGAATATTATCAACCCCGGTTAATGTCTATTTGGGATCCATCCTGGTATGGCGCACGCCGGTCGGAAGAGGTGGGTAGAAATATGAAGCGGGAAGGCGTTGAAGTAGAGCGGGCTTCCGGCCGCCCCCTGAAGAGGAGGGAAGAAGGAAACCTGTCGATCCCTGAAGTAGTATGGCGTCTGAAACAGATTGGGATATGGGAATCCAAAAATACCTACATTCAACGATCGGCGTGTAACCTGTCCTGCAATTCCATCGTTTTGCTCCACAGTTGCCCCGCACTCGAGCGGCACACCACGGTGGTGCGCCAGGCCTCCTGCATCACCAATGCGGTCAAGGTGCCCCAAAGCCACATCGCTTCAACTTCCTCCTCCTCCTCCTCTTCCTCCTCTTCCTCCTCCTCATCCTCCTCCTCTTCCTCCTCCTCCTTTTCCTCCTCCTCCGTCCTCCCCCCGCGGCCTTCATCGCGTTGACGGTCTTCCGGTTGAAGGCGAACACGTTCCCGAAGAAGAGGAGGAGTTCTCCGTCGGCGTTCCTGCGGTCCTGTCGCGCTGGACTGTATCGGCGCTGGCGTCGCCGTCGCGGTCGTCGTCTTGGTCGCTGTCAGAGGATACGAGGAAGAGAAGGAGGAGAACGAGGAGAACGAAGAGAAGAGAAGGGAGCAGGAGGGAAGAGGATGATGAGCAATGGGGAAGGGGAGGCAGAGAGAGGAGGGATGAGAAATGAGGAAAGGGAAGGGGGGCCACGGCGAACGCTGGAGGGAGGATGAGGAGGAGGTGAAGAAAAGAGTTGAAGAGGAGAAAGGGAGAGAAGGAGTGCGGACGTGGACGAGGTAGGAGGAGAAGAAGGGGTCAGATGGGAAAAGGGAAGGAACAACAGAGGGGAGGGGGAGACGGAGGTCCGAAGAGAGAGAACAGATTAAGCTGCCAACGCGGCGGTGGACCGACCAAAGGGGGAGATTGGAGAGCAGGGGTGGAGAAGGGGGAGAGTTCGTCCTCTCCTCCTCCTCCTGTTCCTCCTTGTCCTCCTCATCCTCCGCCTCCTCGTTCACAAGAGGGGGCTGGCGACGGGGGGGTGCACCGTCTGAGAAGGCAGAGGGCCTCTCGAGAGGGGCTGCCCGCCTTTGACAGGCCCTCGGGGAAGGCAGCAAGGCTTCCGAGAAAGCAAGCGGGGCGCTCCGAAGGGACGCGAGGCTGCCGATATATCTCTAGATCTATCGGAGGTGAGGGGGTGAGATCGAAGTGGAAGGGAGAGCCCCCCTACCGGGAAATCGATTTCGGTTTCGTGTTCGTGCGTGCCGTGCGGGCGAGGCGAAGCTGCGTGGGCGGGCGAAAGGAAAGTCTCCTGTGGCTGAGGCGCGGCCGGACCAAATGATTCTCCGCTGGGCGGCCGGTGGCGCGCGGTGTCCCGCCGGTGTCCCGCTGGTGTCCTGTGTGGCTGAGGCGCGGCCGGACCAAATGTCTCCCTTCTGGGCGGCCCGTGGCCCGCGGTGTCCCGCCGGTGTCCCGCCGGTGTCCCGCGGTGTCCCGCGGTGCCCCGCGGTGTCCCGCCGGTGTCCCGCGGTGTCCCGCGATGATGGTGATGATGATGATGATGATGATGATGATGATGATGATGATGATGATGATGATAATGATGATGATGTTGTTGATGATGATGATATGATGATGATGATGATGATGATGATGATGATGATGCTGATGCTGATGCTAATGATGGTGATGATGATGATGATGATGATGATGATGGTGATGCTGATGATGATGCTGCTGATGCTGCTGATGCTGATGTTGATGTTGATGCTGATGATGATGATGATGATGATGATGATGATGATGATGATGGTGATGCTGATGATGATGCTGATGAGGACGAGGACGATGATGATGATGATGATGATGATCGAGTGATATCGAGTGTGAAATAGATCGAGTGATATCGAGTGAGATCGATTGTGAGATCGATTGTGAGATCGATCGAGGGAGATCGATCGAGCGAGACCGATACTGAGATCGATAGTGAGATCGATAGTGAGACCGATCGAGTGAGACGTTGGTTCCTCCCCCCCCCCGAACCTCCTTATCACCCGAAGGGTGGTCGTATAGGTATCTATACACACGTACATGATGTACTAGAGTCACGCGCGCTTCCCGCGCGCTTAGGTTCAGCACGCTCCAGCCCTCGACAAGCTGACGCGCAGAGTTCTCGGGGGGACATCTCGGGGGCCTTGCGGGCGCTGCCTGGGAGCTTTCTTGCGGGCCCCCTTATGGGCCTCCGCGCGACCTCTGGGGCACCTCTTGGGGCCTCTCGTCGGAGAGCCTGTTGGGGCCTGCTGGGGGCTCCTGGGAGCCCCCTGGGGCGGAGAGCTTGTTCGCGCTCCGCGAAGCGCGAAGCGCGAATAACTTCGCGCTCTCGCGCCGCCCCCCCCCCCAAAGGGAAAAAAGGAGGACGAGGAGGGGGGGGAGAAGGAACGAGGACCGCGAAGCGCGAGGCGCGCATAACTCCGCGCCCTCGTGGGAGCCCTTGGCTGGGGGCTCCTGGGAGCCCCTTGGGGCGGAGAGCCTGAAAGGTCCGCTCGGGGAGCCCCCCCCGAGGGGCCCCTGCTCGGGGCGTCCCGGGGGACCTCCTCGGCCGTCGGGGCCCCTCCTGGGCCGTCTTGGGAGCCCTCTCGGGGGCCTCCCGGGCCGTCTTGGGGCGGTCTCGGGGGCCTCTCGGGACGTCTTTGGACGCTGTGAGAGCCCAAGGGTCCACTCTGGGGGGGAACAGAAAAAGTTGTCCGAAATGGAATTGGACTCTTGGGGCTCTTCGGGGAGGCCTCTTCGGGGCCTCCCGGGGCGCCTTGCGGGGCGTCTTGGCGGTGTTGGAGGCATCTCCGAGGCCATCTTGCGCCAAATTGGCCGCCTTGGAGAGAATCTACGTCGTCGTGGAGCGGGAAAGAGAGCTCCGGCAGGCCCCGGACCGACATGGGGGAATGGACCTGGGCCCCACCCGAGGTCTGGAACGCCGAGTACATACATATATATATATATAGAAAGAGAGATACATAAACATACGAGTGGTGTGTGTGCGTGTGTGTATATGTATGTAAGTGTGTACGTACGTACGTATGTACGTACGTCGTATGTAGATGTGTATATATATGTGTATGTATGCATGTATGTATGGATGGATGTAAGTATGTAAGTGTGTGCATGTGTATGTATGTAGGCATGTATGCATGCATGCATGCATGCATGTATATATGTATGATTGTATGTAAGTATGTGTGTGTGTGCGCGTAAGGATGTGTGAACGTATGTTTGTCTGTACGTATAGATGTATGCATAAAAAACATAGATCGAAACATCAGTGCATACATGCATCAATACATACATAAATACATGCAGGCGCCCATACGTACATGAACAAAATGTACATACATACATGCACACATAGATACGTGCATGCATGCAAATACATGCATGCATACCTACATACATACATACATGCATGCAAGCGTACATGCATACATACACGTACGTACATACACATATGCATACATACGTATACTCTGAAGACGTGTAAAGTGCGTACATACATACATGCATGCATGCATACATACATACCTGACATACAAATATACGCATGCGTAGATACACACATGCAGACATACACGTACACAGTGTTGCATGCATGTTTGGATACATGCATGCATGCATGCATGCATGCATGCATGCATGCATGCATGCATACACATATGCAGATCTGCGTGCATGCATGCATATACATACATACATACACGCATGCGCATATTACATACATACACGAACGCATGCATGCATGCATGCATGCATGCATGCATGCATGCATGCATGTATACATACATACATACATACATACATACATACATACAAACAAACATACATACATACATACATGCATACATACATACATACATACATACATGCTTGCATGCATGCAGATATACACATGTATCACACATAGATACTATACGAAAAAACGTACATGCATATATACATAGATGCATACATGCATACATACAGATTCACGTGCAAACAAACAGACAGGCAGACAGACAGAGGCTACAGTACACCACAACACATTCCACTACATTACACTACATCATGTTACATCGCTTTACATAACATCACATTACACTACATCACATTACATTCCCTACCTAGGCTCTGCCTAGATGGGTTCTTACTCTATGGGCTTAAAGGGCCGGGCAGTGGAAATCGCCCCGGGCGGTTCCCCCGGCATCCGCCCCTCGGTTCCCCCAGTTACGTCCCCTTAGCTTAGCGTCGCTTATCTCATCTTAGCTTAGCTTATTTCATCTTAGCTTAGCTTCGCTTCATCTTAGCTCAGTTTTATCTTAGTTTAGCTTAGCTGACCTTCATCTTAGCTTCGCTGAGCTTTAGCATAGCAGAGCACAGCATAGCATAGCATAGCGTAGCATAGCATAGCGCAGCACAGCATATCATAGCATAGCCCAGCATAGCACAGCATAGCGCAGCATAGCATAGCTCACCACAGCATATCATAGCATAGCCCAGCATAGCATAGCATAGCATAGCGCAGCTTAGCATAGCATAACATAGCATAGCATAGCTTAGCATAGCACAGCGCAGCATGACATATCATAGCTTAGCATAGCATAGCATAACATAGCATAGCACAGCATAGCATAGCATAGGATAGCATAGCGCAGCATAGCATGACATAGCATAGCATAGCATAGCAACTAATGCTGCTTTCCTAGGGGCTCCAACTTCTAGGTAGGGTCGCACTGGGGTAATTGACTTGCATTACGTTACATTGTATTGTATTGCATTGCAGTGCAGTGCAGTGCATTGCATTGCATTGCTTCACGCGCGCAGACAGACAGACAGACAGACAGACAGACAGACAGACAGACAGACAGACAGACAGACAGACAGGCACACACACACAAATAATGTGTATGTCAAGTTACGTATGTGTTTATATGAGTATACGCCGTAACCCGCATTCAGTGCTCCAGGTGGCCGATAGCCATCGCAAGTTGTTCGAGCTGTTGCGTTCGTGTTGTCTTGCTCTGGCCGCTACCCGAATCGGGACCTGCCCAGCGTCGGCGTCGCAGCGCCCGTTCAAGCCGTGGAGCCCAGAGATGTTCGTCGACTTTTTTGCGGCCGAGGTTCGGCCCGCGAACGGAATCGGGCCCGCGTGACCACCGCGCTTCCGCATGGTATTCAACAGCGCTTCAGGCGAGGTCCGCTCCGTGAGCGGAAAGCCAGGCTCTGGCGGCCGCGTCTTCAGCCGATGTGACCACTAGACAAGCGCGCTCCACTACTCGCAAAGTAACTACTCGCAAATGGCCTGGATCCGCCGCGGCGGATCTACGATAAATTACATCGAAGCAGACATGTGTTTTTCGGACGTTTGCGAGTAGGCACTTTGCGATAAGTGGAACGCGCTCGGTGAACCACACCGTGTTCGACCCCGCAGAAGTGTTTCGGAGACGCCTGCAGCCGTGTCCTCGGTGCGGAGACATGTCGGAGACCCGCCGGGTACCGCAGCGGGCCTTGCCTGCCTGCCTCCTCCGTCCCCCTCTCTCCAGAGATCCCCGAGGGACAACTGGAGCAGATCGCGGCCGCTCTAGCGCGAACCGGGGGACGCCAGAAGCCATCAAGCCCTCAACGACCTGTCCGCATCGGCAACGGAACAGTCCACACCCCGCGGCGCCGCGCCGAGCCACGTGGACGAGGGCCCCCAGGCCCTGTTCCTTCGGGGCCCGACTCCTTCGTGAAGGGGGAGGAGGAGGAGGAGGAGGAGGAGGAGGAGGAGGAGGAGGAGGAGGAGGAGGAGGAGGAGGAGGAGGCGGCTGGGCGTGGGGTTTAGAACGCTTCCGCTTCCACATCCACCCCCCCCTCCCCCTTTCGAAAAAAGGGCTTACCCCTCCCACACACCCCTGCCCCTGGAGCTGGACAGGGGGCGTCGCGAAGCCCTGGGGCGTTCAAAAAGGGCTTCTGCGAAAAGGCACAAATCACTGATGCTGCTGCCAAAGGTTGGGAAAAGTTTTTTGCCCGACTGGGAGGGGGGGATGGAATCTAATACCCCCCTTTGTTGATCGATCTCCTCCAAGATGGCCCCAGGATGGCCCCCAAGGCTCCCAAGGGGGCCGGCCCCAAGACGGCCCCAAGAAGGATCAAGAAGGCGCCCACGAGGCCCCCAAAGGCCCCAAGAGCTTCCCAAGAGGTTCCCAAGAGGTCCCCAAGAGGTTCCCCAGAGAGCCCCACGAGGCTCCAGAAGGCTCTCCCGAGGCACCCAAGACGCCCCACGAGGCCTCAAGGACCGCCAAAAAGGCCCCAGGACGCCACATTCGGACCCCAAGAAGCTCGCAAGAAACATCAAGAGTCCGCACCCAGCCATGGAGCAAACGCCGACACCGCAGCCCAACCACCTAAGAATGTCCTCTCCGCGTTGCCCATCGTGCCAGGCGCAAAAAGCGTTCACGGCACTGCACGGAGGGAGAACGCCCACCAGGCCGCGAAGGTGTAACTACCATGCCGATGTCTGCTCAACATGACCTAGGACACCTTTATACTCTCATGCCTCGACGCCCTCGCCTCCGATTATGTGTGCTCCTCCTCCTCCCACTGCCCCTCGCCACCCCTTCGTCCCCTGGGGTCCCCTTCCGCGTGAACGGGGCGCCTCCAGGAGCCTCTGGAAGCCTCACGAGGGAGGGCCGCCCTTGTCCCGACTGGCCTTCCTCCCATCGTCCCCTGCCCATCGGTCCACCAGGGTGCTGTCTCGCAGGGCGGCCCACGTGAGGCCCACAGACGTGGGCCAGAAGCGCAGAGAACGCTCCTCCTGCTTCTCCCCCTGCGCCTCCTCCTTTACCCTCCACCTTCCTCATCCTTCTTCGGCGCCCGTCCCCTGCCCCTCGCTTCCCCTCGGTCCACTGGGGTGCCCCTCCGCAGGGCGACGAGGTACCTGGCGATGGTCAGCCTGCGGCAGCGGCGGGCAGCACCGGAAAGAGAGGGGCAGGAGGTTCGCCTGGAGATTCGCCGATGCGCACCACGTGCATCCCTCCTCCCAGGTCGCCTGACCTCGCGCGCTGCGCCCCGCGATGAGCGACGCTCGGTTCATCTCCGCGCCCGCGTGCCGCCGCCGAGGAGAAAGGCGCCTCGCCGACCCCAGCCGCGTGTTAGCAGGAGGGAGGAAAGAGAATATAGTACGGGGTAGATGGAAGGGGTGGGCAAGTGGGCTGAGGTGATTCACCCGTGGCGCGATTCGATCGCGTGTCGACGAGGTCCTGCTACCTCAGCAGGACCAAACTGAAACTCCAACGTAACTGCTAAATCAGCCCGCTCGGGCTACCTATACTGAACCCTCTCCCATCATCTACCCCTCCAACCCCATCCCCCCTCCTCCCTCATCCCCTCCCTTCCACTCCGCGGTGAGTGATGAGACATGTTCATGACCATTTTGCCGAACTGCCTCCCGAGCCATGCCTTCCTCGGTCCACGAAAGGGAGATCGGCTACGAATCCCGCCGTCTCGAAGCCCTCGCCGAGCTCAAGCTGATGGAAGGGGTGTCCCGAACATCCCCAGGACCACGGAAGAGAAACAGTACAACGACGGAGCCGTCTGCTCACCCTTCCCCCCCACCCTGGATCGTCAAGGGCTTAACGCATTATCAAGGGCTCCCAACTTCGCGCTTCGCGCTGCCCGAAGCGCGAAGTGCGAATAATTTCGCGCTCTCGCGCCGCCTCCCAGGGGAGGATGAAGGATCGGAGGCGAATTGCGAAGCGCGAAGCGCGAATGACTTCGCACCCTCGAGGGCGCCCTTGATTCTGCTGTCCCTCGACTTCCCCTTGAGCTTCCACCATGTTCTCCAAACCTATCTGGGTTATCTCCAGATACACACCGATGTTATCAAGACCTGCGTAGATTGATCAGTTATCTGACTTGATCGCCGCAAGTCGATTGGAGGAGAGACGGCCAACCCTCAAGGAATGAACACGGGCGGCGGCGGCGTCCTCAGCCGAGCCGGGCTGGTGTAGTGGTCGAGCTCCACATTGACCGTCCAGCCCGCGGGCCCCCATCCGCCTTCGCGCCCTTGGTTTTGGGGGCCTGTGAACGGGATGGAGCTCCCCCTTTTCCCACCCTTCTCGGGCGTACGCTCACATTGATTAGGCACTCCCGAAACATGAACCCAATACCGTTTGATTTGGCGAAAGAGCGCGCCGATCCTGCACGGAAACAGGACCCGTCGCTAACTCCACCCGCCTTCATCCATGTTTGCGCTTCGAGGGTTGGGAGGAAGAGGCAGAAAGGGGGGTCAAGCCAGGTGCGCTCGCGCTATATCTGACACCCTGCGCGGCGTTTCTCTATCCGTGTGCGCGTGTCACACACGACCTGGAGAGAGGACCCCATCGTGTTATACAGAATCACAAAAGGGGAGCTGCGCACATGTGAGGAGGAGGCGGCGGGTGAGTAGGAGCTCCTCCTCCTCCTCCTGCTCCTCCTCCTCATCCTCCTCCGCCGCCGCCTCCTCCTCCTCTTGTATGTACCCACGTAAGTGTGTATCCAGAGGGAGAGGGGGACAGAGAGAGAGACACCTACACAAACATACGTGCATGCATACATCCATACATCCATACATCCATACATACATACAGACAGACGGACGCACACCCACACGTACGCACACTGACACACACACACACACACGCGCGCGCGCGCGCACGCACACCCCCCCCCCACACACAC